ATAATGTAATATGGCAGTAAGACCTGTGTACAGTTGAACATTTGGGTGGTATTGAAGGATAACCCAGAATGAGCAAATTATTTTGGTCCAGATGTGAGTGACGAAGGCATGAGTGACTGTTGTATATGCTTTCAGTAGTGAAATTCAGCCGGTGCTATCCGGATCACGCGATCCGGTAGCGCCAGCGGCGGGAGGGTCCGCCCACCTGCCCGGACATCATCACGAGTGCGCATGTGTGGAGGTGCGTGTGAGCATAGCACGCATGTGTGGAGGTGCACGTAAGCATAGCATGCATGTGTGGAGGTGTGCGCGAGTGTAGCACGCACGTGAGCGCTCACATTTGCGAAATGGTAGCAAAGGTAAGTGAATACCACCCCTGGTATGCTTCTATTTTTTAAAAAATAGCTCACATATGAGCTGAAGCTGGACAAAGGTTGTCATAACCTTCACTTGCTCTTTGAGCAGGAGTCTGTAGGAGAAAAGCAGGCGGAACTGGAGGGTGGAATTAAATGCAACATCAGTTTAGAGTCTTTGGGCTGCCACAAGAGATCCAAGTCCAACCTCTTCTCCCCTTGAATTCCGTTGACCCTTATCAAGTACCAATTTAGTGATGAACTTCAATTGAACAGAATCTTATGTATAGTCTTGAATGGATCTTCTATGCTGCCACCTTACGAATGGTCCTGATTCACTGTACCTTACAGAACCACAAGCAGTGATGTAGGTAGCATATTTGATACCCGAAGGAGATAATTTTTTTAACATTTTCCTCCTTCATAGTTGAAATCCAATTTGGTGTAATGGTTAAGGCATCAGGCTAGAAACCAAGAGACTGTGAGTTCTAGTCCTGGTTTAGCCAAAGCTGGTGGTAACTTTGGACCAGTCATATCTCTCAATTTGGGAAAGAAGGGATTGGCATGCCATTTCCAAAAAAGGCTGCCAAGAAAACTGCACAGGGTGGTTGGCAGTGGTCAAAACAGATTCAAACAGACAAATTTTTTTTAGTTCCATCACTGTTATGGCATGACTCACTACCAAAAAGGTGATCTATGAATGGACAACAGAAATCTAACTCCACACCCGATAACCTTCAGAAGCAACCCCTAATTGTCTGCTCCCAGGGTGGACCACTCTCCTGCCCTCCTCCATAGTAGAGCACTGGCCACAAGTTTAGGAAAATCCAGATTGCAGCTTTGCTGTTTCCATGGAATATGGCCCGCTTTGGACCTGTAATTGGTACCATTCCAGAACCCCATAGCCTTTAAAAAACAGCTGCTCTATCTTGCTTGGACTGAGTCTGTTTTTTCCCCAGCTAGTCCCTTAAAACTTCGAGATGTATATAATAACACTCATGTATTGTAATTTGGAACTTGGCTAATTCGACCTATAATCATCTTTACTAGAATCAACATAAGAATAGGTAGTGCAACATATATATATATATTAAAGTGCTTCAGGATTGTGTGGAGAGATAGTATTATATTGCTCTAAGAGCTTTAATCATAGTAGCATTTGGAAAAACTAAAATTTGAGAGAGAGATAACTTTTGTCATGCTATGCTATAACAAGCATATAGCACCAACCAAAATTCTTTTATGTAATGATTTCTCAAAACAAATATCTATTTAATTCTCAGCAAAATAAAAACATGTACCCTTTTTTTTTACTTGACACACATGCCTTTTCTCAAAACTATGACATCCCCATTCAGGTAGGCAGGGGGAAGTGACAGAATGTGTCATAATGATGTGTGCATCATTTGTGCAGTAATACCATGACATGTGTAACATCATTGCGATTTTTGCCAGATGCCCATACTTGACTATTTCTGTATTTTTAGTTAATTAACAATCCCAGCAGTCAAGTCTATGTTTTTAAGGAACAACTTACTGTGCACTGACATTTAACACAAAATGTTCAAGGGTTTTAAATTATGTAACTCTGACATTTTTAGTTATTATGTATTCATTATCTTGTCTGTTGCTCCTGTCTTTTTAAAAACTGAAATGAGACATTAATGCAATACTTCTTATGATTAAGTCTCCTAGCAACATTGAGCTACCTGTAGTCAGCTCAAGAGGAGAAAAGACATTATACAGAAATGCTTCTATGTATTCAATGTTTCCAGAAGTTTAATTTATGGCTATTTATGTACTCTGTTAAGCCCTATGGCTTATATAACTGGAATTTATATTAATGAGTCCATAAATTGCATATAGAGAAGTGCCGTAAGCAATTTATTATTATGCAACACAGCATGAAATTAAAGGAAGACTCTTTTAATAAATGACTAAGGATGTTAACATTAGACATAGAATCATAGATTTGGAAGAGATCATTTAAGTCATTGAATCCAATCCCCTGCTTGATGTAGGATCCAAATTAAAGCACTCTTGATCCTTCCTTGAATAGTAGGAAACACATCTTTTTCAAATTTACGATGCAAGTGAACTATGCAAGTAAAAAAATACATTAGTAAGAGTACCGTAAAGAAACAACATACATTATAACAAAATAAACATACAGGAGAAAACAAATGAAGGAAAAGGGAACTCATGTAATAGCAATATGAAACTAATTCAATATTTAAATCTAGATTTTATGGAAACATATTCTATTTCCATTTTAAAGACATTGCAAAAATTGATAAAGAGCACATATATTGAATTTAAACATAGTGAGTGTAAATTTCTTTTCATCTACATAAAAGAATTCACTTTGCTAAGACTTAAACTTAAGAATGCTAATGTTTTTCCTAAAATGTCAAACTCCGAATTTTAGGAGCATAATTCAATACCACATTTACATCTCTAATTATTATATTTCCCCCAAAGATATTGTTTATTGTAATTTGAAACCAAAATGTGGCTATAATTCATCATGATGAAATCATGTGAATTAAATAATCTTCCAAGTTTCTTCCTACACCAAGCATTTTCTGATTAATATCCTTTCAGTACAGTATTTGAAGATTGACATCATATCCACCCTGTTTACTCATTTTACAGGGGATTAAACATTCCCAGTTTCTTATATATCTTGCCACAAGCCCAGCTTCTTCAACTTTTCCTGTTTGGTTTTGTTTTTTCCTTCTTTAACATGCATAAACAACAAGCAACAATACACTAAAGGCAGTCCTTGAGTTACAACAGCTTCTTCAGCAGCTGTTCGAAATCACAATGATGCTGAACAAGGGGGACCTACAATCGATCCTCAAAATTGCAGTCACATATTCAAACACGGTAATATTGAGATACGAGTGCTTGGCAACCAATTTGCAATTACAATAATTGCAATGTCCCACAGTCAAATGATTGCCATTTGTGACCTTCCATGCTGATTTTTCACAGGCAAAATCAATGGGGAAGTTAGCAGGAGGTTGCAAGTTGCTCCCGCCATTATTTTGCCCATCCCCTGCCTGCCTATGTTCCATAGAACTTGCTGCCAGTCTGTGTTCTATAGTGCCTGTTTGCAGTACCCATCTGCCTATATTCCCTAAGAACTGGCCCCGGAACTTGCCCATCTTCCTCTGCTCTATAGTATCTGCCCACAGCATTTGCCTGCTTCACTATTGTTATCACCTGCTGACCTGCTTGGGACTCCCACCCCTTTCTATACTGTGGTTGTGTGAGGTCTTCCCTGCATCATCCTGGGATTTGATGGCAACTGAAACTGGTGGAATTCTGGCAATCACTAAGCAATGTGATCACCTGATGTTGTACTTTACAACCACACTGCTTAGCAACAGAAATTCTAATGCTAAATGCCATCATAACTCAAGAACTATCTATAAAGAGTGTAGTATTATTAAGCTTAAGAAATAATTTAGTGCAGATTGCAGCTCTTTATCAATACTACATTCAGCTTTAGATGTGTGATTTAAACCTTATCTTTATTAATAACTACTATAATTAATAATGAAACAATGATTATATTTATTAATATAAGCAATTTAGAAACTGTAGTTAATAATGGTAACTATTCCTCCTTAGCTTTAACATTTTTTCTTTTGATTCCTTTGACTCAGTATTGATTCCTAGTGACTACGTGGACAAATCCCGGCTGTTTATTTTGGCAAGATTTCAGAAGTGGTTTGCCATTGCCTCCTCTACTTTTTAAAGGTTTAAGTTGCTTATGTCATCTTGATATTCATAATTTCTCATTAATACTGTACAAATAAAACTGCATCCAAATAATAACTCATATTAATTGTGTCTTAAAATAATACAATAAACTTTTTTAAAAAGATGTTAGGGCTTTCATCATGTAGTTATTCGTCTTCCAAGAGTTCATCAAAGTTACAGGTCTCTTCTCAAATAGAAAGACAGAAAATATATTACTGAACACAGATAAGAAAATGAAAATTATAGATGCAATACTATACAAACTGAGAGAAATTCTTGAACTACATGGAATTTAAATTACCATATGGATAGGACTGAATCAAGCCAGCTCCATGTAATAAACACATTAATTAATTGGCTGCCTGACTCTCATATGACTTTGAGCAGCTTAAACTTAAGAACCAAAATATATAAAAAGAGACATATAAATAAAAGCCTTGACGAAGGAAGTAAACAAAGCCAGATCAAAACAAAACCAGCGAAGGAAAAAATCCCAATTAATGAAGCCAATGAACATTCTGCCAAAGAAAGTGAAACGTTTTAGTAACTTAGCAATGCATCTTTTAAAGCAAGCGTAAAATGGTAAAATAATACGCAGCGAGGCCAAGTAGGAGCAGTGCTTCAGGAAAGCAGCTTTGAAGCAGGATTAAAGACATTGTCACTTATGTAAGAAATATTTCATTCGCGTTATACCAGGGCGGAAGAGATTTGGTTATTTTCCATTTCCGGAGCTCTGGAAAGAAACAACAATAGTTCGTTATTATTATTATCATCGCGCTGCTCATGATTCTCTCTCACACACACACACACCTCCGCCGAGGATGGTGCTGAAACGAAAAGCACCACTGTTCAGCTCGCTTTAAACCCTCTTAAGAAATGGAGGCGGGCCTGAAGAGCCGCCTCGAGAGACTGAGCTCGCTAAACTCCCCCGAGTTCTTGCGCCACAGCGCCTCCTCCGCCCGCTTCGCGACCCTCTACGCCTCGGGCTCGCGCCCTTCGCAGCCAAAGCGGTGCGTGGATGGCAGAAGGCGGGAACCGGCGCGAGACGCTTTTTTTTTTTTTTTTGCTGTTGGAATAACGGTCTCTCTCGCCCGCGGCGGCGGCGGCGGCAGCGGCAGCGAAACAGGTGGGACCGACCGTCTGACGGAGGACACGGTGAACCCTTTTCCATCTTTGAGTGGGATGCTGCCTGGGAAAAAGCAGCGCGGTTTCATAGACGGGGATTGCGAAGAAATGAAGACGAGCGTAGGAGGCGGTGGAGTGAGATAGTTGCTCAGGTCGTGCGTTTGGCATGCGGAGTAGGAAATGGGAGCTTTGTGCAGAATTACCATCTGTTGAACGCTTAGTTATTTTGCAGTTGTTTGAAAAACGAGGAAATGAAATAAAGGAAAACGAAAAGAGGGGAGGGGGGAGAAAAGAAGCAAAACTGCTAATTTTAATATGACTTGAAGAGAGAGCTAGATTTTAATGTGACTTTAAAAGTATATGTGTTATAAAATACATGTATGGAGATATATGGACAAATTCATAGGTTCATTCCTCCAGATTAGTATTTTTCTGCTGTACTGGTTAAAAAAAGTCCAACAAAATGATGAAATGGTGTTGAAAAAGATTTCATTTGGAACTTTTAGCTCAGGATAAAGGGAATATAGGTAAAATTGACTCCTTTTATTCCAACATAGTTCCTCTAAATTTCATGTGACCATTTAGGTAAGAAGCACAGGAGCCCATTATTACATGTTATGATCATGTCTATAATGCTGTCTGTCATCTATCTATCTATCTATCTATCTATCTATCTATCTATCTATCTATCTACCTACCTACCTACCTACCTACCTACCTACGTACCTACCTATCTATCTTCTATTTAAATTTTTACCCTGTTTTTATTGCAAGACAGATATATAATATTCCTTCCTCCTCTTATTTTCTCCACAACAACCCTGTGAGGTAGGTTGGGCTGAAAAAGAGTGACTGGCCAAAAGTCACCCATTTGGCTTTCATGTCTAAAGCGGTACTAGAATTCAGTCTCCTGATTTCTAAGCCAGCACTTTAACTACCATGAAACTAGCTTTCGGAGCTAGGATTTTTTATTTGACGAATTCATTTAATTTTATGGAACTAAACAAATCAGGCTTGACCATGGTACAAAACTGTGGACATTGTATCCACATTTTTTTTTCTTTTTATGACCCCGTAATCCCTTGCTTTGGGATAGGGTCTTGGCTACTGAATGAAGCTGGACATTGTATCCATATGAAGCTGACAAATCACATATTCAAATCTGTCTGCATACCCTGAGTCACCACAATTACAGATTTAACAGTTTAGATACGTCTAGAGTCTAGACTGTAGAATATTGTTTCTGAACCTGGACAATTTTGAGATGAACTTCAACCTAAAGAATTCTCATATAGCATGGACATTGGTAAGACTTATAAGTATTGAAATCCAATATCTAAAAATGACCAGGTTGGGAAACACTTCTCTAGATAATGTCTAAGTATTCTTAAAGGGGCATTATGGAATTGTCATGCAATTCATATCTGCTATGTGAAGGAGAGATGGAAGATAGAGCATGTATGTTTTCAACTGACACTGATTACAGTTAATTTTGGCAATTTCTGTGAATTGTCTTCAGAATTATAGACAAGCATTTGATTAGCTGATGGATCCAGTTGACATTCTATAACTTTTTAATACTAGAACATATAATGGAACCAAAGTCTGGAAGATTCGGCATCCACTTAAAATTTAATACTGACTATTTCTTGATTTAATTGGATAATTAATAAAATTAGGAAGAATAATGATATTATTGGGAATTAATCATGTTAGTCCAATACTAGAGACAGAATAAGACAAAATTAAATTTCTAGCCTGTTTCTGGGCTTATAAAAATTGGGGTGCTTGCTTTGTGAATAGAATGCAGGTCTGTATAGGCCTTTATCTGCACAATTTATATTCTTGAGTTTTATCTATTGCTGAGATTATTTCTGTACTGTACTGTCTCTTTTCAGCAACTAGAATGGGTAGACATCAGTTATTGGATAAGTCACTTTGACACATATTTTTAATATTGTTACTATCAGGGTGGATTTGATTTAAATCGAGTTGATTTAAATCACAATTTAAATCACTAGTAAAAAGGCTTGATTTAAATCAACTCGATTTAAATCATAATTTTTAAAGAGCAACTGTCATCTCTGCTACTCCTTTGACCCACTGTTGACTCACCAATAGTCCCAGTGTTGCAGAATATACAGCCTCATGCTGCATAACTAAGCTCCATTTCATGCTGAATAAACTAAATTATTTATGTATCTTAAATAGAAAACTATCTTACGATAGATTTTTACCCCAAAAGTTTTTTATTAAAATAAATTCAGTAAAAATCAAAAAAATCCGATTTAAATAAAAAAAAATCCGATTTAAATAAAAAAAATCTGATTTTTTTTTTAAAAAAATCATTGATTTTTATCCACCCTACTGGAATTACTATAATTCCAAAACAGCTGTAGAAGTTGAACATGGAGTAAATAGAGGTTAAAAAGTTTCTTGTTAAAATACAAAATATATTTTCCTCTTCTTTATTTTCTTATTTCAATAAAATAAGGGAAGTAGAATTTTGTTGGTTCTACTATGCAGGAAATTCAGGATCAGAAGAAAAGAAGAAAAAATATCTGATTTCACAATATAAATAGAAATCTATCTTTTTTTAGTGTCTTATTAAAAAAAAACCATCTGATGTCTGTTTTTAATAGAAAATTCTTCTTTAATTTTTGTTAATTCTCTCAACATTAGAATAAAGTTTACCAGTCCATGATGGATGAGAAAATAAGACTTCAACAAAAACCTCTGATTTCCCGTCTCGAACATGGACCAAAAGACACCAAAATACCACATATGGAGAAAGGAAAATTTGTCAAGCCTGAACAAATTTCTAGTTCTGAAGAAAATGAAAACCTACTAGTGAGAACTTTAAGATTTGAGAATTTATACTGAGCAGCTTGTTTTTAAACTTTAGTACATGTAATTAATGGTCTTATTGAAAGCTACATAACTTTGATAAATGTAATATGTTCTGCTAGTAAGTATATATAAGATGGCATTGGGAGTAGTGAAACACTAGTAGTCAATGAATTTTAATTGCTTAGTAAAATTCATCCTAATGTCTTACTATAGTTTTCCTTTATCTTAAATTAACTTTTTTACTAATCTTTGTAGAGAAAATGGATTTGGTTTCGGTTATTAGATTGTACAATACATAAGGTACTGGATATAATGTGGTTTCTAAAAGTAATCAGAAAAATCTGTTTGGCTCCAAATGCAGAGTTTTGTTTCAGTTAGGCATGTTGAGGAAAAAAATGATCTGTTGTTTCTGGTTTATAGTAAAAACAAAATGTTCTATGATTGCTTAATAAAACATAAAGACTAGAATATACTGAGAATCACTGTTGGATTTAAAAAAATAAATATTTGGTGTTTATTTGGTGTTACAAAATATTTTAAATTGTAATAATTAAATATTTTCTGATGCTTCTTATTTTTACATAATTTGTTTCAGCATGCTTGCTCAAAATCTGGACATAGGAATCTGCAGCTTGGGCTCCATATATATGCTTTTTTATTATAATAATATTTCAGTTTAATACACCATTGAGGGGGGAAAGTATGCATTAAATTTAGAATTAGGCATTTGTGCAAATGTATTATCTGTGTAACCACATAATTGACATTTTATGCATTTGCATTAATTTTGCCTCATTAATGATGCAAAATTGATACAAATGGTATTGATTGATTATGTGCCATCAAGTCTGCCCAGACCGCTTCGAAGACAAGCAGTTTGGATTGCTGTTGTTTGTGACATGTGAAGTATTTTTTTTTCTATTATATTTGAATGGAGGACTAAAGAATTAAGATTTTACTCCCTGATTTTGGAGGTTGTAAGGGGAATGAAAGCAATTTTTTCGTCTTGCTGTGCCCAGGGGTAGGACGTTCTCTGTGGGTGCTCCCACCCTCTGGAATGAATTACCTACCGAGCTCCGGACGGCTCCTGATCTCCGTTCCTTCCGTCGGGATCTGAAGACTTGGCTGTTCAAACAAATAGGCTGACTCTGATTCTGGGTTTTATTATTTACTATTAATTAGTTATTTGGTTTAAAATGGGATTTTATTGTACTTGTTTCTTAACTTGTGTTCGCCGCCCTGAGTCCTTCGGGAGAATGGCGGCATATAAATACATGTAATAATAATAATAATAATAATAATAATAATAATAATAATAATAATAATTTGCTTCCAAGGGAGTTGTTCTTTTTCTATTTGTATACTTACAAATGGAAGTAGCTCCTCCAAATGCACTGAAAATCAGGACAGCCTCTTGTGATTTGAAGAAGACTGGGAGGAAGAGGTGGACTGCTGCTGGTTTGCACCGGTTCGGGTGAACCAGTAGTTAAGATCATGCGCAGTTTGCCGAACCAACAAATGCCACCACTGGCTGGCCCCGACCGTCTCACCCTGCCCTATCTCACTGAGCCTGCCTTGGCTGGTGGCTAAGTCACACCCATGCCCAGCTACTCTCTGGCTCCTTCACTTGCTCGCCCAGATCACGCGGCCCAGCTGATCTGCGTGCCTTGCCCACTTGCCTGCCTTCACTGCAGCCTACCATGGCGGCCATGTGGCTGAGCTATATCCATGCTTTGCCTGTTCAGCTCACCGGGACTGCCTGTGAAGGTAAGGCACTCCACCAACGGGCCGCCTCGGGGTCGACATGTTGAGGCCCGGCCACCTTTCCGGCCTGGCTCTCACCATCATTCTGCCCACATGCTGCCTGCTCTCCCTTCGTCTTGGGTCGGGGGACGCACTAGTCCCTGGCTCTGGTATTTCCTGGGGCCTCCTCCTGCATGCCATCCTTTCATCCTTTGCCTCAGGTCGCTCCATTTCCCCTCCTTCAGAGGCCCTGGCCTTTACTCAGTCTCCCCACTTCTTTCCCCACAACTACCTCTTTCTTCATCCCATGACCTTACCTTCCTCCCATGGCTGGTGGCAGAGGGGAAGGCAAGCCAGGGCTGAGCCATCACTGCTTGGCTCCCCACTAGCCCACATCTTGCCCCTCTTGTCACAGGCTGGATGTGGAACTCAAGACGGAGCAGATGTCGAGCAGCCGGCAGCCCAGAACAGGGACCGAAAGGTGGCTGAGCCTCGCCGTCTACCCCCTTCCCCCTCACTGAGACACTTGCAGCAGCCATCTCTTTTCTGGTGCAAGAATCCTCCAGCTGCCAGTCTTTGCCAGCATGAAAAGCCTCCAGCTGCCACTGTCACCTCGGTTCCGGCCAGCAAAGAGGCGGCTGCTGCAGGCCCTTTGCGCTGAAAAAGAGCGATGGCTGGAGGCTTCTCACCCTGAAAAAGACCGGCGGCTGTAGGCTTCTCGTGCTGGCAAAGAGTGGCAGCAGACCCCAACATCACTGAAACGGCCCTTCGGCTGAGTGCAGCATGCCCGGAGCGGATCTACTTTCCCTCTGTCTGCCTTACCTTCCAGCAGCCCATGGAGCTCGCACCATTCTCACAGTGGCAGCCCACGCTTGTCCGAAGTCCACAGGCTGGTAGGCGAGGGAGGTACAGAGGTGGATGGCAGAGGGGTGATGTGGGCCGCATAGCCTCATGCCCCCTAGTCACCCCCTGCCTGCAGGCAGGCGAGGCCCAGCAGCTGTGGAGAATCCAGGTGGAGGGCAAAATGCAGGCTAGGGTGAAGCCAAGTGGCGACAGCTCAGCCTTGACTCGCCTTCCCCTCTGCCACCAGCTGTGGGAGGAAGGTAAGGTCATGGGAAAGCCAAACAGAGTTGCTGACCGAAGTGGGCAAAGCTGCAGCTCGCGCCTCGTTTGAAGTTCCCAGCCCTTTGTTAGAAAATCTCCCAAAAAAAGAGTGGGGAGGAAGTCCCGCCCTCAGCCCCTTTGTTGGACCTGGAAGCCATGTGTGATTGCGGCATTGTGCCTGGTCTCCGGGAGACTGGCCAGGAGCACCTGGTGGGCTTAGACTTTTTCCTCACTGTTTCCCTCTACGACCGGCCTTGGAAAAGCCTGCCCTCACAATCAGACTCCCTTTCTTCCAATACTCGTGTGGGGAACCCAGGCTTGGAGAGCAGCAATGGTTTGGAGCTTGTTCAGGAGGACCCTCTGCCCCAGCCATGTGTTTTCCAGGGCTGCTTGGAGTGAAGAACATGCAATATGCTGCCGCTAAGCTCCTCCGGGGTTCCTTGCACAAGTGCTGGAAGAAAATTGGCTGATGGTTGGCTGCAACCAGGACTTGGAGCAGCAGCAGATGGGGTTCAGGGTGCACAATCTACTCTTCCAACTCCCAGTGCCCAAACCGGCGAGCTGGAAGAGAGATTCTCCGTTGTACTGGTGAATACGCACGGACTGAGTGGGCTTTTTGCTTCCCCCCCACCTCCCCATCCCGATCTAGCATTGTGCAGACAGCTGAATGGAGACGGAAAATGGGATGTTTCCATTGGTCCTTCTCTCATTTTCCCTCTAGCCTCCTTTTGCCAGTATGTACCAGGCAGGCTCGGCAGGCAGTCGCAATCTTTAAATGGGCTTTTATTTTGTCAGCCCAAGGGTGGGGGAAAGGGGCTCAGAATGGTACGTAGGAAATCGCTCTGTCTCTGCAGCATCTGCCCGCCTGCACAGCCCCACCTTGCCATTAGTGACATCGAGTTGGCCACATCCACTTAGTCACATGACTTCCCAGGCCACGCCGACGCCCAGTCACTAGGGTTAGTGACTAGATTAATTCACTAGGGTAAATTAATTGCAGCCCACCACTGCTGGGAGGCACAACTGCAGCCCTTAGACCTCAAATGTTGCCTATCGCTGCTATAATCTAATATGGATGTAAGTCAGCCAAACATACTGGAACTGACCTAATCACTTCCAAAGTATTCTAGTTCTAAAATAATAAATTCTTATTTGGTTTTCTCTTCTAGGAATTCCCTGCTTCCGATCTTCGCACAGCTGTTTACAGGAGGACAGACACTACAAGAAAGCACAAAATAAAAACGGAAGAAAAAATTGGTTTCGAATATATGTAAGTGAATTTTATGTTATGTCTACAGTTAGTAAAGGATAAATGCATAGGCTGAAATCCGGTGTTTTCTACTGATGCATCTAGGATGGAATAACAAAGACTGGATACTTTCTTTCTGTCTCATTTACTAAATATATTTTGGATTTTAGGAGACTTAAGATGATTTGAGAAGTTGATGACTTCAGAAATCTTATCGGCTGAGTAAAAGTCAAATGATACAAGATTTTTACCCATTGCATTAGATATCACTTTAAATATATGAATATAACTAATTAATGTCTGGTTTGGTGTCCCTCAGTTAGGGTGAATAGATTCCAATAAACAGGCTCAGGCTCAGGATGGCCATTGTGGGAATTGGTTTAACACATTTGGCACTGGATTGGGAAAAACTGCTTCAGTATGTTGAATTCTTTCATGTAAATGACAGACTTTAGGAATCTGGGTAACCTACATAGAAATATTGTTGAATTTCAGCATACTATCAGTTCCCACAATTGTATGGTTTTCAATGCTGCTCAGCCGCAGGAGGGAAGTTTTCTGATTATCTGAGTCACTTGAAAAGGCACTAGGAGCAACATCCATAGCAGCTGTGTGAGTCTTAAAAAGGCATTGCTGATTTAGCAATTTAAAAGAGGTGCTTTGAATGAGCTTTAAAAAAAACTTTTGAAGGAATTACATAGTTCTACTGCTGGGCTCTTTGCAAATAGCATGGCAGGAAGCAGGCAGTCTGGGAGTGAGATGTTAAACTATGAACAAATTGGTTACAAGGCATTTTTAGTTAAGAAGGCTTTGTCTGGAATTTAGTCTGTTCTTTCTTCTATATAATTCTGGTCTGACATGTTTTCTCTTCCTCCTTCCCTCCCTATCTCTCCACCCAGGTTTTTTTTCTGGCTTTGGCTGGAGGATGATTAAACAGGATGAGCCTAAATAGTGAATTGTTCATTCATCATACTCTAGTAACTACTTCTAGGTTTAGTTTATATTTCTATTGCATTAATTATTTTTATAGCTGACGTTCTCAAGTTAGATCAACTCTAACTTGTTTAAAATGTTTAAACAGGTGTTTAAATGTTTTAATGTTTAAAAATTACTTTAAATAGATTCATTTACTCTATGCATAAATACTGCTTAAGAGAAATGCATTTATCTCAGTAAGAAATTGGCAACCTTGTAGTAGTCAAGGCAAGGGATAGAACAGTTAGAAGCCGGCAACATGAGTAAGGTCACATTGTACATGTGGACCAGAGTGGGTTTTGGAGCCAGTTTGGTGGGTTTTCTTTTTATTTTACTGTGTTGTTCCTTTTTTCAAGCCTACATTCTATTTTTTTATCTATATCCAACCACAGAATGGCAGGAAACTATGCAGTCATGACCAGAAACATTTTTGAGAGACAGAAAGAGAACTCAAGGGGTATAGGTTGCCCTGTTCACAATTTTAGTAATATTTGCATAAAATTCAAAGCTAGCTCAGAAAATTACTTAAATAAATAAAATATTTATTTATCAATCTAACATGAATATAGACAGGAAGATTCAATTTCAGCATGAAATATAAGCAACAATGATATCCATAGCAAACTACAAAAAGACCAAAGTTATGATCTGTCTAATGATATAATTATGTACTTTTCACAGGCTGTGGAATACAAATGCATGTCAATTTATTGGTGAGATAGTTGGTATTATAAATGTAATAAATAAAATAAATAAAAAATTGCAACGTTTTTGTGATCATTCACATGTTGTTATTTCATCTACCATGTATTATAGTTCCCATAAGAGGAAATCTGCTAATTCTTTTTCTTCTTGATCATTCTTTCTTGCAAGCAGCAGTGTCTTCAAGGAAGAGAGAGAGGGAAAAAAAATGAAGATGCAGGAATGATCATGTGATTAAAGTCCACCCCTTCTATATTTGTATCAGTTTTGAATCACTTGAATCATAGTGTAAATGGATGTGGAACCTTGGGACTGATGAAAAGTCTGCATTGCAAACAAGAGATAGTTGGTGTCATATCCCTCTCCCTCTGTTAGAGGAGGGATGTTCAGTTTTAACATAGATGATCTTTTTGACTCTTCTTTCAAATTAGTGGTCCTCTCTGTCCAGAATGTGAACTTTTCTGTCTTCAAAAGTGTGATCCTGGTCATGCAAATGCAAATGGAGTGCTGAATCCTACCCTGATGTGTTTGTTCTCCTATGTTGTGCCATGCATTTGTGAAGTGGTTGTTTTGTTTATAATGCAGTCCTTTCAATAGTCCCAAGAAGATTCCATACCCATTTACACTCTGAGATGACTTGGAGGATACAGATAAAACCTCAAGTGGCCTCAACAACTTTCAAAGAACTAACAGCCAGATTATTGCAAAGAATATAAATATTTGTGATAGTGGTGAATATCTAACTCGGGTGAAGGATGAGGGTGGAGGTTTGTTCTCCAAGCTTGTGGGTTGGTTTTGTTACCAGGCTAAGTAATATCTTTGGTTGAATTTAGGGAATGTCAGTGTCAGTGTTCTTTTTGCTTACAGGGCTTCATGTTGTCAGTAGGTCTTGTGATGGATCTTGTGATGAGGAGGTCATGTCAGGTGAGAGTCATTGGGCGGTAAAGTGCTGGTGGTGGTGGGGTTTGCGTGGGTTAGTTGAGAATTGGTGCTGCCACTGGTTGGTTGTATGGTTAATTTGAATTCTCAGGTTCATAGTTGGTTGTAGATCGATGTGTTTGTTGATGGAGTTGCTTGTGGAGTGCCAGGCTTTGATAAACTCACATGCGTGGTGGATATTGGCGTGGTTGATGATTCTTGTATTGCTCCAATAGAATTGGTGCTGTTTGGTGTCAATGTGGGTAGAGACTAGGGATTTGGGATTGTGGTGATTGACTGCCAGCTGATGTTCATGGATTCTGGTTTTCAATTGCTGGGATGTTTGTCTCATGTAGACTTGGTTGCAATTACAGATTTTGTAAATTACATTGTTTCTTTCATCCTTCTGTATCTTGTGTTTGGTTCTGGATAATTCCTGATGGGAGGACCAATTCCATCAACAGACACATCGACCTACAAGTAGTCTATGAACTCCTGAGAATTCAAAACAACTGCACAACCAACCAGTGACAGCACCGACCCTCAACTAACCCACGCAACCCTCCCAACTGGCACTTCACTTCCCAGTGACCCTCACCTGCCATGGCCTAACCATTACAAGACTGTCACCTGACATGATCTACCCATCACAAGACCCATCACAAGATCCATCACAAGAACTTCACCTGACCCATCACAAGATCTTTCACAAATCACTCACCTGATGTGACTCTCCCATCACAAGACCTACTGATCACATAAAGCCCTTATAAACAGAAGAACACTGACACTGATATTCTCTAAAATTCCATTGAAGATGTTCCCTTGCCTGGTAACGAAATATTTGAAACCAACCCACAAGCTCAGAGAATGAACCTCTGTCCTCAATATAAATATTTCCATTCCCACCAGTCAATAAGAACTGAAGAAGTTTCTTTGATGAGAAGAAAAACATTTTCAAACAAAAGACAAAGTCCACTTGCCTTTTGGAAAAAAACACCTTTGGGACAACCATGACCTGGATGATTAAGACTTTCCATAGACTTTTATCCTCCCCTCCAATATTCTTACACTCCTTGCTTGGGACTCTGCCTCTTCCCACTTAATGGCCCACATGTCCTGGGGTTACATTGGCAACCAGGATGCTGGGACATCATGCTTTATAATAACATCCAACCTGGTTCTAAATGCCATCATAACCCAAGGACTAACTGTATTTTTGTTTTGAATCTAGTTTATTCACAAAAATTGATGTTGGATAGGTAAGGGAAGGTAGAGAAGGGTTTCTCCCACCAATTTGCATTATAAGAATTATAAACATGTTCATACATTATAAACATGTTCAAAATCACATGTTACAATATTGATAAAGCATAGAATAATCTAAATGTTTTGTTTCTTTTCATTTTTAGTTTCTCAAGAATACATAAGGACAAAGCAAAATTAATTGTTGATCAACATGCTGATATGATACAATGGCCTCAGACCAGGAGTTTGGAAGATTTTAATTTGAAAAAAATGACCACAGAAAAACTTCCTATAATTTCTTCTCATGAAAACTCTGATTATATTGTTAGTGAAAATGAAGGAAAGTATAACAGATTATTTAGTCCGTGTGGTATAGCAAACCATTCTTAAATGACTAACTTAAAGAGGCTTATGGCCTCTTAAGGACTAAGAAAATTATGATAGCATAAACCTACTGTACATGGAGTACAATCTATATCCTTAGACACATTAATTATACTCTTTAAATTTCAATTATATAAATACCTATGATGTTAGAAATAAGGAATTATAAGGAAAAATGGCTCTGTCTCTTTATAAAGATATTTATTTTTTGTTGATCAAAATATTTGATCAACAAATATTCAATATATACATATATTCAATATATTTGAATATAATTCTATTTTTGTAGATTGTCCATACCATACCAATGCAGTATGTAAATAATGTAGACACTATATTATATTATATTGCATTGTATGCAATACAACGTTACTCCTCATTATATTGTATTATATTGTATGCAATACAATATATGTTACTTCTCATTGTCCAGAAGAATAGCAATTTTCTGTTATAGCCCACACTTTCAGTTCTGCAAATTTTAAAATGAATGTGTAAGGGCATAAATTATAGGACTACCAGTTATGGGCTGAAAACTCAAGGTAATCAGTAAAAAGCAGCAAAGAGACAGACAATGTCCTGCCATCATATTGCCTTTATAATTATAACTAATAATAATAATGTTAAATCAGAATTCTCTATCCCTGAAATTGGCAATTAACCAAAAGTACTTATTCCATTGAGTACAGTATTCTAAACAAAATTAATAATTTTCCATAGTGTAGGCTTTTGTTTTAATTCAAATAAAAAGGCTAAAGTGAAGTAGTTCCATTTAGACTATTCATTCATTCATTTATTCATTCATTCAGAAAAAAAATCTAGCTTTCCACTAGATGGCAGTGAAAGGATATAGAAAACTCAAACATACAATTAGTAATATAAAGTTGAGCAATAGGTTTGATTGCTGTACCAGTTATTTTGCTGCCCTTCCAGCATCTGGAAAGATGAGGCTTTGAAAAATAAGCATAGTCCCACTCCTGCCTCATTAGTAGACAACTCTAATTAACTTTTTTAACATTTATATTATATGTATTTTATTCGGCTGTTCACCGCCCTGAGTCCTTCGGGAGTAGGGCGGTATATGAATTCAATTAATAATAATAATAATAACAACAACAACAACAACAACAACAACTTGATGCAGCACACAAGTTATTTAGGAAAAATGACTTTTCCACAAGTACCTCCTTATTCCGCTTCTTGTTTTGAAAAAAGTCTGGTATTCTTCTGTTTCTTTATCCTTTATCAACCTGTTGCTTGTGATTTTATTTATTTATTTCAAAGTATATGGCATTCATATCACCATTATTATTAAGAATTATTAACATAACTTTATTAACTGCCCAAATAAATGTAAATGTGTAACAACTATTAAAAATACAATATCACAAAATAAAATTTGCAGATGAGATAAAAACAACCACCACTGTCAACCATTCCATGGACTTCCGCCATGCATGCTGACCCCAATGCCTGATGACAGAATAAAATCTTAAAGGCCTAGAGCAGGGATGTCAAACTTGATTTCATTGAGGGTTGTATTTGACCTTGGGGGGCTGGGATGGGTGTGGCCAACTTGATGTCCCTCGTGTCAGGAACACCTGTGTCGGCCTGACCGTTCTGCCAGTGAAAATGGGCTCCCAAGCTCAGTTTCAGCTGCAATGGCCTCCTGCAACCCTCTGCCAGTGAAAATGGAGCTTGGGAGGGCCACACACAGCCCTCCCAAGTTTTCCCTGGCAGAGACACTGTGAGTCGGTCCTTCACTGTTTCCAGGGCGGCCCCATGGGCCAGATCTAAGCACCCTGTGGACTGGATCCAGGTTCCGGGCCTTGAGTTTGACACCCCTGGCCTAGAGGGTTGAGGACACTTTGTTGGTGATGTTCCCCAGGTCTGCTCAGGGACAGAAAAAGTTTTTGGGATCTTGGCTATGCAGCCCTTTTTTAATAGGGAAGACTTGAAACATGCTTCTCCTGCCTGTTATGATGGAGTGGATAGACACAAGCAGAGACAAGACAATTTACCAAGCTCCATGAATGATTTTTAGGTAATTACCTGCATCTTGAATTTAGGCCAGAAGCACTAGCAACCAATACAGCTCATGTAGCAGTGGTTTAATATATGCCAATTGAGGGGCATGTTTCATTTTGAGCCAGTTGAAGCTTTCACATGTTCATTCAGCTTCAGCTTCATTTTGAGCCAATTGAAGCTTTCAGATGTTCTTCAAGGGCAGCCCATATACTGCATATCAAAAAGTGGACAATTTTGTCCAGACTACAGAATCAGAGGTGTTTGGAGTTATTCTGTCACAAATTCTGTTCTGGATTTAGATCTCAGATGAGGAAGAAGATAAAATAGAAGAGAAGCAGATAACATAAAATTAGAAAACAGGATGAATAGGATAAATATTAAAACTTGTGCAAGGAACACTTGGGTTCTAATGAATTTTGCAAAAGCTTCTGAAACCATTGCTTTAGCTATCTGGGAAACTTTATGAAATAGCCTGCTGCTCACTAGATAACTGTCAAACTGCTTATTCATAAGCCCCATCTGTTTTCATAAAGGTGGTGATTTTATGCTAAAAGATAATAATATTAACACATAACAAAGAGAATATTAACTGCAAGAGTGATAATGATTTTAGATAACAAGTATCTTCTAGTGTTTGGCTTAGCACAATGATTATGAAATTTTATTGGCTATCGGTTACAGATGATAATAAAAAGACAGACAGTCAAGCTGTTTCAGCACAGTTAAGTTGCCATACAAGGACTTGCATGAAATTTCAGTTTGGTGGTGAACACAAACCTTCCAGGGTGAGAAAATCTCCTTCATATGATAAAACTGGTATGTACATCAAAAACCAAATATGCTTAATGTTATTAAAGCCAGAAATATTAAAAATATCATGAATTATTCTAGTTTTTATCCTTTGTTATTCAATTATATATGTGTGATCACAAGCATACAATCAATTAAAAAATGTTATTGTGGTTTGTTGCACAGTCAGCCCCCTATCAAAACCTTCCCAAGGACCTGGGATGGGCAAGGACCCAAGGACCTGGGATGATGTTTGATTATGTTAAAGGTATCATCACAGGATATAAACTGTTCCAAGTAAAGTTGCCTTTTGCAATTGATTGATGGTGATTTTGTCAAAGCTGATGGTGTTCAAGTGCTGCTTCAGTAGTCTTGGGATTGCACCCAGGGCGCCTCTTACTATTGATATTACCTTTGCTTTCTTTTTTACAGTTGTTCTATTTCTATTTGCAGGTCTTTGTATTTTGTTACCTTCTCCAGTTCTTTCTCTTCTATTCTGCTATCTCCAGGCACTGCCAATTTCACTATCCAGATGTTTTTATTCTTCTTATTGACAATTGTTAAGTCTGGAATGTTAAGTGGCAAGTGTCTGTTTAAATTATATAATCCACAGGGCATTTTGGCTTCTTCATTTTCTATTTTTTTCTATTTTATGGTCCTATCACTTCTTGCTGGCAGGTAAATGGTATTTCTTGCAGATCTTCCAGTGCACCATTGTTGCTACTTTGTCATGCCCTTGTTTCTAGTCAGTTTGTGTGATCTTGCAAGCAGCTAACCATGTTGTCTACTGTTTCTTCAACTTCTTTGCAGAAGTGGCATTTGCTGTCAGTTGCTATCTTCTCAATTCTTTATATTTAAGGTTTGGTCTTGTACAGCCAGGATTAGCCTCAATGTCTTTTTCTTCAACTTTCCTGATCTTAGCCATTACCAGCTCTTGTTATTAACTGCTTGCTTTTTTTATGTACTGACACTGTAATACTTTGCCTTGCCGCTTTTTTATTCTTCATTTTGTTTTTTTGTAGGCCAATCTGACCTCTCCAATACTTAGTAAACCTTCCTAGTATTCTGCTTTCAGTGCACTGGTTAATTGTTTTCACTGTTAGGAAGTTTCTCCTTAATTACAGGTTGTTTCTCTCCTTGATTAGTTTCCATGCATTGCTTCTTGTTTTGCCCTCTGGTGCTTTGGAAAATAAGATGATCTCTTGTTCTTTGCAACAGCCCCTCAAATACTGGAATACTGCTATCATGACACACCTAGTCCTTCTTTTCTCTAGACTAGCCATACCCAATTTCTGCAACCGTTCTTCATATGTTTTTGACTTCAGGCCTTTAATCATCTTAGTTGCTCTTCTTTGCACTTTTTCCAAAGTCTCAACATCTTTTTTTGTAATGTGGTGGCCAAAACTAAATGCAGTATTCCAGGTGCGATCTTACTAAGGATTTATAAAGTAGTACTAATATTCCATATGATTTTGATTCTATGCCTCTGTTTATACAACCAAGGTTTGTATTAGCTTTTTGGGCTGCTGCCACACACTACTGTCTCATGTTTAAGTGATTGTCCACTGGGATTCCAAGGTCCCTCTCACAGTTACTGTTTTTGCCTAATCTGTATTTGTATCTGTGGTTTTTCCTGCCTAACTGTAAAACCTTGCTTTTCTCCACATTAAATTTCATGTTGTTGGATAGGGCCCATTGTTCAAGTCTGTTAAGAACTTTTTCTACTCTGAACTTGTTTTCTGAGGTATTGGCTATTCCTGTCAGTTTAGTGTCATCTGCAGATTTGATGAGCTCCCCTTCTATTCCCTCATCCAAATCATTTATGAAGCTATTGAAGACTACTGGTCCTAAGACGGAACCTTGTGGTACCCCACTGCCTACTTCCCTCCATGTAGATCTGTACTACTACAGGACTACTTGTTGAGTAAGGTTGTCAGTCAGTTATGAATCCACCTTGTGGTGATGCTGTCTAGCCCACATTTTTTCTAGCTTATCAAGAAGTAGGTTGAGGTCCACTTTGTCAAATGCAATAAGTATAGCAATAGTATAAGTATAGCAATAGCTTTACAGCCCTCTCTAAGCATTTTACAGAATCAGCATATTGCCCCAACAATCTGGGTCCTCATTTTACCGACCTCGGAAGGATGGAATGTTGAGTCAACCTTGAGCCTGGTGACATTCTATCTGCCAAACTGCTGGCAGCCGGTGATCAGCAGAAGTAGCCTGCAGTCCTGCACTCTAACTACTGCGCCACCGCATATCTGCTTGATGTTTTTGACTGTTATTTGCTGCTTTATTATTTCCAGTTCTTCCTCAATCTTCCTTGTTCCTAGGTGATATTTCTTGATTAGGTATTCTTTGACTGAGCTATTCGTTTCTGTTAATTACATCTCATCATATTTTTATGGGAGAGACACTTCATCTGGATCCTCTGGTGAGAACTTTCCATATGGTTGAACTTTTGGTGTAGCTTTCATCTTCCTCAGAGCATACAAGCACCACAAACATATAATACACAAAGTAGTGCCTCATTGGGGGCTTATTATTATTTTGTTACATCTTTTTTGTACATTTCAATTCAAGGTGGCATATATACACCTTGAATTGAAGGGGAGGGCCTTCTCTGTGGGAACACCCGCCCTCTGGAACGAGCTACCTCCCGGAATACGGCTGATTCCGGATCTCCGCACTTTCCGTAAGGCGCTGAAGACGTTTTTATTTCAGCAAGCCGGCCTGGCCTGAATAGGTTTTTGGGGTTTTTAATTGTATTGCTAGGGGTTTTAAATTGGGGTGGACGTTTAATTTAATTTATTTTTAATTATTTTAACTTTTATATTGCATGTTATTTTAATTCTCGGCTGTTTACCGCCCTGAGTCCCTTCGGGGAGAAGGGCGGGATATAAATTTAATAAATAAATAAATAAATAAAATACCAATATTCCTGCATCCTATTTTCCCCAGAACAACTATTTGAGTGGGTTGGGCTGAGAAAAAGTAATTGGCTCAAAGTCACTCAGCTGCTTTTCATGCCTAATGGAGGTCTAGAACTCAATCTCCTGACCTCTGGGCCAGCATCTTAACTATTACATCAAACGTCATATAGGAGCATTTAGAATTATAAGGTATTTTTAAAAATGTATAAAATTGCAATAATAAAATAGCAACCACCTAATGCTTGGTCAGCTGTTCATCCAGCTCATTATATATGCTTTCAAGCTTGTGTTGCACTCCTTTGCAAAGATTTCTGAAAGCTCAGTCTTTATTACTTCCCTGAATGACCTAAATGTTTCATGATGAGCGAGATGTGACATTCTCATTACCTGCTGGGAATCTTCAGTGTGCACTTTCAGCCTGCTTATATTGGGCAGGCTTATTCTATCTGGTGTAGATAATTTCAAAAGTTAACAAGGACCCAAGCCATAAGGTTTAAGAGACTTCTAGACTAGGAATGTCCACAACTGGTAAATCAGCTGCCCAAAGGATCGAGTTATCTGCTGCTTATCAAGAGCTGGGAAGTCAGGAAGTCTCCCAAATTGTACATAAGTTCATTGAGATGGAATGCTGTCCTATCCAAAGCTAAATTTGGAATTATCTTGGTACAAGAAGGTTCCTGAATAAATCGGAATTTTTTTCTTACTAGTATTCATTCCAAGTCTGTTTCATCCTTTCAAATTTTCACAGCCTCCAGATACTTGATCAAGATGAACAGCATGGGATGGAGATATTTTCCTTATTCTTATAGCTGAAGAATGGATTACTTCAAAAGTGGCTCATTCTTAATAATTTGACTATGATGAAATTCACACTTATATACACTTTGATATTTAAACATATATCTGAACATCAAAAGTCACTATATTACCTTTCTACAGTATATTGACATAACCTAATAATTACTTTCAGATGTTATGCTAAGTCATGTGATACAATTAAGCTCAACCAAATTCACGCAGCCTTCTTCACCTTTCTCCTCTTCATTATCAGAGCTAGAAACACTTGTTTCTCCTTTTAGCTATCTGGTTTCTATTTTTTCCAAATAAAGAAGAAGGGATTAATATGCATTACAGTTTGTTTTAAAGAATTATATTAAAAAAATATGCTTTCAGTTTTGTTTTGAGGGAGGATGCAATTGTATTGTATAATAACTTATAATATCCTAATTTGTTGAAATTAATTAACAGTCATGAAATTTAAGTATAACTTCAGGGAGTTACCTTAGGTCATGCTTACAGTATATGCTGATTGGTTTATGTTCTTTTCTAGGTCCCATTAATGATGATGCCATCTTGCATATTTTGAGACTCAGAGATAAACTTAGCTGGCAGACATTATTACCACCTTGTGAATTTGTTAAATCAAAAGATGTGGCTAAATTTCGGAAGATCCCATTACTGGTATTTTTCTTTATAGTTCATGTCAATTTATTCTATTTGTTTAAGATTCAGTCTATTATTTGTATAGGGTATATATTTGTGTAATTTGTTTATACATTTCCATCTATTGTGAGGATTATTTATTGTGGTAATGCCATAAAGCGGGGTGGGCAAATGTGGCCCTTTTACAACCTGTGGACTTCAACTCCCAGAATTCCTGAGACAGCCAAGCTGTCTCAGGAATTCTGGAAGTTGAAGTCCACAGGTTGTAAAAGGGCCACATTTGCCCACCTCTGCCATAGAGCACAGGTGTCAAACTTGATTGCATCATGGGCCAGATTGTGATATATCGCAACGTTTTTTGCCTTTGTGGAGCCGGGGTGGGCATGGCCTGCATGTGACATATTTGGCCCGTGTTTGACAGGTCTTCTATAAAATGTCATCCATCCCATCCCTCCCCCCCTTTTTTTTCTGGCTGTAGATTTGAATTGTTATGTGCAAGTACTGTGGTCAGCATAGAGGAGGATTATTCATTTTCCATCTGGACAACTCTTAAGTCAGCCTTTTTTCTTCTAATATAGTTTCCTTTAGATATTTTTTTACTACAACACTATTTTCTTTAAAAAAAAAACTTTCTTCTGACATGTTCTATATAATCTCTTTAGTCATTACTCTGAAGTAAGTATTAACCATAACAGGAATTGATGACTTTTCTTGGGACAGATGTTATAATTTGCTGTCAGGACAAGATGAAGGCCACAAATGATACCAGAAGAGTGGTGGTAAAGAGAAAGAAAAGAGCTAATGGTTTATAACCCACTTTTGGGAATTTACATTTTAAGAGAGAAAATTGGAGCAGAAAGTCTCTTCAAAGCAAATTATTTCATTTTCATCCCTTAGAAAGCTTCTAATTGCCTCCCAAATAGCCCAATATCAAGTTTATGACTTTTAGCAGTAGAATGGCCAATTTTGAGTGACATAATTTTGGACCATTTTAGAGGGCTTGGTTGTTTTAAGGCTGGGATTGGTGTGGTTTTCCTCTCAGAGACCACCAACATGTTTATCATCTTATTTTCTGAGAAGAAAGCAAAAAAATTAAGCTTTTTTGCTGATGAATTTTGGAGGCACAATCTATGAGTACAGGGAGGCTGCATGCAGTGTAAGGGATGTCCACATCCTCTGTAGAAGAAATAACGTAATTTATACTAATAATATTTTCCTGTTGTAAAGGTTAAAGCTATTATATGTATCTTTGGAAATAGTCATCTGATTCCTGTCCTTATATAGTAGTCCATTTTGGATTAGCAACAACTACAATAAAGATTATCTACCTTGATATTTTAAATATAACTATTTTAAGTATATAATCTCATAAAATGTTGTATCATTTTGGAAATGATTAGTTTCTAAGATCAACTCTTTATTAAAAGTATTTTAGATGGGGCTTCTTAGATTAATGTCAACTTTGGTGTTATGTTTCTTGGAAATGTATCAAATTTTAAAGAAAAAGTTTTATTTTTTATTTTACTCTATTTTTATTTATGCCTTTTATTTTTTTTTCTTCCCATGTTACCAGTAATAAATAATAAGTTGTATACAATTTTTTTTAATTTGGAAAAAAAGACTAAAGCTGAAGTATTCTGAAGTATTCTGAAAATACTTAATTCAGGAGTAGACTCTAATTCTTCAGGGGAAAGGAGTTTTGCTCAATAAAAGTCAAGAATATCCTTGAACCAGAGAAGGAATGCAGCTACAATGTATCAAAATATGAAAGCAAAACAACAAATAGAAGAGATGCTGGATCAACTCAACAAAGAATAGAAAATACAGGTACTTACTTTTCAGTAAGTACAGAAAGTACAGACACATGAAATGTGAGAAACACAATTAACGAGTTAATAATGTAATTTTCAAAACATAACAATTCCATTAACAATGAACCTGTCTGCCAATATACATTGTGACAATAATATTACCGAGAAACTACAGATGTTATCACCATAGTCTTTAAAATTCTAGGAAGAATTTTCAAGAATATAGGGACTCAACTATCCTTCCAGATGGTAGAAAAAAATGGAAAAAGAAAACAGAAAACTACAAATAAAAAAATAATTCCAGAAATGATATTGGTGAAAAAGATTTAGTTTTTAGTTATTTCATTAATGGACTGCTGGCGTAAGATGGGTTACATCTCATAAGAGCTGAAGAAATTACATTTGGCAAAAGTCTTGTAAACGGCAATTCTGTGGATGTTAGTATGAAAATCCCAGTGTATCAACTTGAAAGACTTCTGCATCAGAAAAGTGAAAATGTTGTTTTAAGGGGGCCTATTATGCAGTTATATAAACCAAAAAGAATATTTGTTTATAGGTTCATGGCTTGTTATCTGTAGATGTTCCAGATATTGGATGTGAAGGAGAACTCTTAGTACAGGAAGGTAAATATCTTTGTTACTATCTACTCACCCATTCAACCAACATGTAATTAAATTTTGGAATTCATTACCATGATATATGTATGCTGGTTTCACAAAAGGATTGAGCCAACTCATGGAAATAATGGGGTTCAGTAACAATTAGCTTTGATGACAGTGTGACTGTCTCTAAACACTATATGTTGGAAGACTAGTGGAGATTTGTATTGCCCTCACCATACTTGCATTTAAATGAGTTTTAAAAACTTGGCTATAGAAAGATCTATTTTGAAATTAGAATAGTCCATTTTGATTCCAGAATATTCCATGATGAAATATTTTGCACTACCTTACAGGACAACTTGCAGAATTTCCACATGACCATTCATGACAGGGAAACATTTGGATATATTGAACTGCAAATTTGGATATATTAATCTGCAATTCAGGATACTAGTTTTGGGGGCATGGGCCTCATATATGAAACTAATAGCTTCTTTTTTATAAACATTCATTGAACTGTCAAAGAATGTGACAGGAAAATTCTGACTAAAGATTCTCTTCCTGGCATTTAACAACGAGTAACAGTTTGAAACTTTATGGAAAGGAAAATGTGAGATCTATTACAGAAAAAGGCTATAGGAAGGAGAGAACAAGCAAGGTAAATGCTCTGCCTAAGAATTCTGCAGTTAACAGATGTGATCTTAGCTTCAGATAAATTTACAGTCATAAATAAATAACCAAACCAGTGTTGTAAAAATTGACAATTACTATGTGAATGGAACAATTAGTAATTAGTAAGCAAATAAAATACCCCACAGAGTTTATCAATTCACTAGAAATCAGTATTAACTGCATATTAAATTTTAAAAGAATAGCAATTATAATATTTGAATAAGAAACAATGGATATTAATAATTAAAACTACTGCAAATTATGCATGAGTGAAATCAAATAGAGTTTAAGTTTCTTACAAGTTATGCAATTACTTCCAAAAAAAGTATTTCTGGCACTTACAGAAAAAATTTTCAAAATACAAATCCAACCATTTTATATAAAGCTTGAATTTACAATGGAAATCAGAATCAAGGACAAATAACAATGAATTACACTATATCTGCAAGGACCTAAATATATAATTAGCAATAACATCTATTTCCAGAATCAAATCATTTGAAAACTTGCCAAAAATTCACTGAATAAATTTATATTTTGTATGTAGCCTTTAAAAAGTGTGAAATAGGAAAAATTAAGACCAAGGTAGGAAAAATACACAAAGAGATGCCTTGAGAAATCTTTTATATATTCTCTTGTACATGACTATTTACTCTCACTTATTCTTGATCAAAATACTTACATTCATTGTTTTGAACCCTACATTTATCAAGCTGCCCATGAGTGCTGTGTTCTGTCTCTCCCTCCCCCCCGCCTCCCCCCCCAATATCAATTGTCAGATGATTCCTCTTCAAAATAAGAAGAAACGGGTTTGGGAAGCATCATATCTAATCTAATCTGAGAATAACCAACCATGAAACCAACAAGGTTTTCCTGAGATCTTTGGAAGACTTGCTTGCACATAACTTCAGCATTACAAATTCCATTTTTAACAAACAAACAAAATTGAAAATAGTTTTTTAAAAAACACAGTTGGGAATAATTTTACTGTATATATAATTGCTGATATAATTGTCATGTCACATTCCTTGATTACCTGAATTCTGGAATTTTAGTCTGCTCCTTGTGTTTTTGAAAATTTATCTGTTCTTTTTAATTTGTCATGTTGGAATGATTTTTTTAAAAAAGTTTTTTTTATTTTTTACACAAACAGACAAACAAACATACAGTGCATTTTTTCTGAACAGAGTATTGGCCGATTCCCAAATTTAAACAATTTTTAGTCATTTTAACACAATTTATATATTCCCTTTTTGCCACAGTGTTTATTCTGTCTATTTTTTTTAATAAACCAATATTACCCTTCATCCTAACCTCTAATCTTAACCAAATTCAATTTTTCCCTTCATCTCTATATTAACACCCTTAAATTTAAAATCTCAGATAGTATACTTCCTAATATCACAATAATTCATTTCTTATCAAAATATGAAAATGTTTTATACCATACATTTGTTTAAATCTTATTCCACATCTTGATAAAGATCAGTTAATTGTATAACAATCTTTTCTCTTTATATGATAATATTAAACCAAATTACTTTATACCATATATTTCCTTGAATCTTATCTCTAATTTTCAATTACTTTGTCAAACATATGTATTTATATCTCTTCAAACAACATCTTAATCATTTCTACTTTCACCACAATCTAATTAATTCATAATACAATATCATTTCACCTTTTTTCTTTTTTGATTAGATTCCAAATATACAGTTAAAAATATTCTAATGTATTACAATTTCCTTATTTCATATTTCTAAAACTTATCATTATATAAACTCCTTCAATACAATTAAAAATATAATAATTTTAGGTAAAAATATTCCAGCTATTACTATCTCATTTATCAAACTTATTCATATTTCTGACACTTATTTCAATTCATTCATACATCCATATAGTTTTCCATTTTATATTACTTAATTAG